GGTTGGTGAAAGGGCTGGAGGGAGGCAGCATGTCTGGCCTTGAAGTAATAGGCCTTGGGTTACTGCTGGTAATCCTGTCTTCCTCTCGTGGGATTAGAGGAGGTCAGAACATGTGGCCTCCTTGTAGTTTTTGCAGTACCTAAAGGAGCTGACTGCTAACCAGAAGGCTGGCGGTTCAAACCCACCAGCCACTCCACTGCCCCAGATTGGGCAACCTACTTCTGGAGTGATACCACCTCAGAAACCCAAGGAGGGGTCGCTATGAGTCGGATCCAACTCGACAGGAGTGAGTTTGGTTTTTTGTTGATCCTTACAGTATCCCTGTGAGGTACATATCATTCTCCCCATTTTATAGATGAGGAAACAAAGGTTCAGAAATATAGTTGCCCATATGAGCTGCTGTTGGTAAAGCCAGCAAAAGGAATCTGCCTAGTTTGAAGCTCATCCCTTTGCACTCATTGTGCTGATTATAAAAAGGAGAGGACTTTTTAAAGGGATAGGTTAACCCACTGCCATGGAGTCAATTCCTACACACAGCAGCCTTACAGGACAGAGTAGAACTGCCCCCCATAAGGGTTCCAAGACTGTCAACCTTTTTCTTTTTTCCTTTTAATTTTTATTTTGGCTGTAAATCTTTATGGAAGCAGACTGCCTCGTCTTTCTTCCATGGAGTGGCTGATGGGTCCAACCACCAGCCTTTTGGTGAGCAGCTATATGCCTTAACCACTGTGCCACCAAAAAACCAAACCCACTGCCATCGAGTCAATTCTGACTCATAGCAACCCCCATAGGGTTTCCAAGGCTGTAAATCTTTGTGGAACCAGACTGCCTCAGCTTTCTCCTTTGGAGCAGCTGGTGAGTTTGAAGCACCAAACTTTTGGTTAGCAGCCAAATGCCCTATCATGGTGCCACCAGAACTCTTAAAGTGAGAGGTTGGGTCAGATAAATTAAAAATGGGAAGGAGCAGGTCTGAAGGGAGGTGGGCTGAGTGTTCACATTCCAGGCCCTCAAAAGCTTTCCTTGTGTAGTAGAAACATTTGGGATACCCACCCTGCCTGAAGTGCCAACTCACAGCTTCCTCTGGGGCCTTGTTTGTACTGGGCTTCCATACTCTGGCTACAGCTGAAAGGACCAGGGATGAAAACCTGACCAAAACTGAGCCAACTGGAATCTTTCTCTCAAGGATATAAGTTAAGAGACACAGACACTATAGTCAGAGGTCGTGTCATGACCCAGTCAGCTCCCTGGTGACCCAAAGCTTCATGCAAACTGGAAATTAGAGAGGAGCAGGAGTGAGAGACCTCATCAAGGCAACCAGCGTAGAAAGTGAAATGGAGGAGATGTGCAGGAAGAAGTAGAGGCATGAGGCCACAGAGTCCAAAGGAAAGAGAGGTAAGAGGACAAGGAAAAGTGAACAAAGACACCTTCCAGCCTGACACATTTCTGGTTCCTCTGCAGAAGGAAGACTGAGCAATCCACTTCCGTAAAGACTGACTGCCTCAGAAACCCAAAGGGGGTCACTATGAGTCAGAATCAACTCGATGGCAGTGAGTTTAGTTTGTTTTTTTCATATGATGCCACAGGAGTTCTTGTGGTGCAGTGCCTAAGGCATTTGACTGCTAACCAAAAGGTTGGCAGTTCAAACTCACCAGCCACAATGTAGAAGGAAGATGGGACAACCTACTTCCATAAAGATTTACTACTTCAGAAACCCAATGGAGGTTGCTATGTGCTGGAATCAACTCAATGGCAGTGAGTTTGGTTTTTTGGTTTGATATGATGCCTATAAGGAGCCCTGGTGACACAATGGTTAAGCGCTCAAGCTGCTAACCAAAAGGTTGGTGGTTTGAACCTACCCAGAGGCTCTGTGGGAAAAAGACCTAGCAATCTTCTCCCACAAGGCAGTATCTCTACGGAAACAGATTGCTCAATCTTCCTTCTGAGGACTATTCTGTGCATTAATGATGTATGTCTGGCAGCAATGAATGCCAGTGTGTGAGATAAGAGTAATGCTGACTGTGATAGTTAAGGTTTTATGTCAGCATGGCTGGGCCATGATTCTCAGTCATTTGGCAGTTATATAATTATGTGATTTGGCAGTTAGGTAATGATGTAGTCATCCTCCATTTTGTGATTTGATGTGGTCATCCTCCATTTTCACATAATGTTGATTTTCACGTAACAACCTAGTCTTTGGAACCTAACCATGTTGGTGAGGAGTAGGTATATTTCTCAGATGCCCTCTGTGATGGTTAATGTCATGTGTCAACTTGGCTAGGCTATGATTCTCAGTGGTGTGGCAGACACTGGATTGACTGCTGTACTATGGAATGGAATGGAATCATCTTCCATTTTGTGATCTGATATGAGCAGCCAATCTGCTGAAAGGTCAGTCAGTTGAAAGCCAATCAATTTCCTTGGGGATGTGGCCTGCATCCAACAGACAGTATATGGATGTTCTGGAAAAGCTGGCTCTCTCTAAATCCTACATCCAACTCATTATCCTCTGACCTCTGGTTCTGACCTGCAGGTTTTGGGATTTGCCCATTCCCTCAGCCCCGTGAGCCAGCTGCCTGCTGTCTGACCTGTTGATTTTGTGTCCATCAGTCCCTGCAACCATGTGAGTCAGGAAAAACCACCAGCCTGATGCCTGATCCATGGATTTGGGACTTGCCAGCCTCCATAACTGCATGAGCCATTTCTTTGAAATAAATTTCTCTCTCTCTGTCTCTCTCTTTCTCTCTCTCTCTCTCTCTGTGTACTTATACATATACCCTTCTATCTATCTATGCTTCACTAAGGAGTTCTGGTGGTACAGTGGGTAAGGCATTTGGATGCCAGCCAGAAGGTCAGGTTCAAATTCACCAGCTGCTCCACAAGAGGAAGATGAGGCTATGTACTTCCATAAAGATTTACGGTGTTAGAAACACCCCCAAAGCACACCCCTATTCTGCAGAACAACTATTCAATAAAAACTATGCAGTGGGTAGATGAATGTTGGTATATCATGGCATTCTAAGTATATGCATTATAAAACACTGAATGTTTCACAAATGAATTTTCACATAAAAAATGGCAGCTTCACATATGCCTCGCCAGAGTCAGGAATACAGAAAGTCCTAAGACACCAATTTACCTCTGGGTAGCAGGTGCTAGGAATTGGTTATGCTCAGCATTAAGGAATGTGTGAAGTTGCCCTCTGCCAAGTCTCGTCCTGAAAGCACCCGAGAGAATAATTCTGCCAGAAAAGAGATTGGCTGATGTTCATGGTCCCTTCCAGGACCAAGAATGAATGACTTTACTGCATCAAGATGCCTCAAATCTCCTGCCAGCTCACTGCTTCCATGGTCAGCATTTAAATATATATATTCAACATCAGTGAGGTACTAGGTGTTGCAGAAAATATAAAAATTCAGTGCTTCTTGGCAGGTCCAAATCCAAAGGGAACAGAGAAACTTACCAACAGTCAGAGAAGAAACCCAAACCAGACAAACAGCAGCAGCCCGGGGCTGAATGGAGAAAAGATATGTTTGGAGGAAGGGAGGGAACTAGTTTTTAAAGGTGATTGTGGTTTTATAGGTGACTGAGGGCCTGCAGAAATGCCTTTGAGGAGTGTACCTTTGAGGTTTCCCATGCTTCCACCGGGTTGGGCCACTTTCTCTAGGTGGTAAGTCTCCAAGCCCTGTTATGCAGGAAGTGAAGGGAATGACTCAGCAGAGTAAACACTTAAGCATTCCTGAGTGTTTTGTAAATATAACACAGTCCTTCTATGACAGCAGGCCACATGGTGTGATTGTCAGTTTGAGCCTGTTGGAATCTTTGTAACTAGTCCTGTGGTGCATGCTGGCTGGTACAAACCATTTGCATTCTGCTGCTAACCAAAAGGTTGGTGGTTGGAACCCACCCAGCGGTACCATGGAAGAAAGGCCTGGCAATCTATTTCCATAAAGATTACAGCCAAGAAAACTATGGAGTTCAGTTCTATTGTCACCAGGAGTCAGAATCAACTCAATGGTAATGGGTGCAGTTGATCAAAGATCCCCAGTGGGCCACTCACCAGGTGGCTTCACAAACAACAGGGAGTAAGAGGCACTAGATTCTTCTCCCATCAGACCCCTCACCCTTGTTAATGGAACCTCACTGTTTTTCTGCTTATGTAAAAGGTTCTTGATGTTAAGGTCTCCATCTTTTTTTTTTTTTCAATCCAGCTGTAAAATCTCAAGTAGCAAAGTAGCTCGCTAAAAATAATCCGGCAAATCACTGTGGCATGAATCACAGCCTCTAGCTGGAGTTTCTACAGATGAGATTTACTCATCTTCAGAGTTAGTCTCATTTATAAGAAGAAGGGGAAAAAGATTCTGAGGGAGGTAAATGGCTTGCTCAAGAATACAAGGGTAATAAGTCAATTAGAGGAGAGGTCTAGAAATACCTTGGGTTGCACTCCAAAGACATGTTCAAGTGAAAC